GGGGGGAGAGAGAGAGAGAGAGAGAAAGAGAGAGAGAGACTCAAAACGTTTCCACTCCAAAATTGTCCCCAAAAGTACTTACCTACTTTTCTTTAATCCGCCGCTTTAAGTTATACCCTTTTGGGTGTCGCGGGAACAAAGAGACGTCTCTCTGCCACCAGCCAGAGAGCTTAGGTCAGGGGGATGCAATGAGTTTTTACTGTTTCCCTGACTCCATCTATCCAGGTCTTTTTCGGTCGTCCTCTAGCCTTGTTGCCACTGAATTTTTTTAATGTAGGCACGTTGTGCTGGGTGGTATGTTGGTCATCGCATGAGATATCCGAACCATTTGATTCTTTGAAGTTGCCTCAAAAGTACAATAAACAGAAAGTAAAATGAATTAGTAAAAGCTAAAAGTGCAATCTGTTAGCGTGTCTGGACTGGATCACAGACACCGTGCTTTCATGGGTGTACCACATTAACTATTGTCTTCTTTGTGTTTGCATTTCCAGCCCTGTTGTACATTTCCCTTACATTCAGAACTTAACCTTCCTTCTGCCCTTTAGATGTATTCTCAGTCACTCTGTGTTGACAGCTTCATATGGCCTTTTATAATTACTTATTTCAGTGTGAGAATTTGTGTACGTGTGCGTGCGCGTCTGCCTGTGTGTGTGTGTGTGTGTGTGTGTGTGTGTGTGTGTGTGTGTGTGTGTGTGTGGAGGTGAGGCGCTGTTATTATCGAGTATCCCAGTCTTTGCGCAGGGAATTCTTATCCGTTTCAGCCCAAGTTGGTCCTGACGGGCAGGTTCGATCCCCCCGCCTCCTCAATAATCTAAACTATAGATTGGAGGGGGGGGGGGGGTAAAATTCCAAACTGTAATTAACAGTGTATTATTTCTCATCCTCTTAATACTGTAAGTTGTAGGCCTTTGCCTCAATAAAATAATGAAATCTTAACCCGCCCCTCTCCCAACAAGCAGCTACCGAAAGCTCCCCCTCCACAATTAAAAAAATTATTCAACCCTCCTTTCCGACTTTAACAGAACGCAAATGACACTATAAATGTGATGCAGCGTGGTAAAATAATGAAATTGAAAAAAACTGGCATTTTTTGCAGGTTTAGAAATGTTTTAATCAATTATTTTTTGGGCTCACACCTTTTATGTCCATTAAAGAACATATTTCTGTGTTAATTTTTTGTGAAAAAAGTTGATCAAAGGCACAAAAAATTGTAAATTTTCAATTTCCAAGGACTCTCAAACCGTGGAAACAACCTAATTTTGGCCGCCATTTTCTTACTAATTTTGCCTCTGAAACCAGGCGGTCCCCACCTCCTTCAGGTAGATAATATCTCGATTTGTATTCACGATAAAAGGGTATTTTTTTCGCCAAATGCAAGACAAATGAACAGGCTTTAAAATGATACCAATAACTCTACGTGCCCAAAAATTGACGAGAGCCTGATTCCACCTCGTCGTGACACAAATAGGCCAACCACCCTCCCTTTACACCTGCCCATCTCCCCTTCCGACTCCTTACAGTATGCCTATTACTCTGTAAAGAGCTGCCAACCACCCTCCCTTTACACCTGCCCATCTCTCCTTCCGACTCCTTACAGTAGGCCTATTACTCTGTAAAGAGCTGCCAACCACCCTCCCTTTACACCTGCCCATCTCTCCTTCCGACTCCTTACAGTAGGCCTATTACTCTGTAAAGAGCTGCCAACCACCCTCACTTTACACCTGCCCATCTACCCTTCCGACTCCTTACAGTAGGCCTATTACTCTGTAAAGAGCTGCCA